TGAACTAAAAATGCAACGAAAATATGCAATAAAATATACATTTTATACAATTAGATTAAATATAATAATTAATGATTTTTATTATATAATTGATTTTAATTTTAAATTGATTAATAACACAAATAAATTGTTATGATTGAATCTCAAATAAAATAGGTATGCACTGTTCATGGACTAAATATGTATTTCGTAAGAACTAAATATGTATCATGAATTAACTAAATATGTATAATAAATTAATTATATGAATATTATTATATATTTAATTTAAATATAACAAGTATGCATTTCGTATTAACTAAATATGCATCATAAATAACCTAAATATTCATAATAAATTAACTAAATATGCATCATAAATCACCTATATAAAATACACATTTTATTGCATATTTTTCGCTGCATATTTAGTTCATTCATGATGCATATTTAGTTTATAAAAGATGCATATTTAGTTCATAACATGTGCATACTTAGTTGATATTATTGGTGTGATACCCCACAGGTACACTATTATATGAATTATGCTAATTATATGATTTATTAGTAACAATTAATAATTCCTTGAGTGATTATTATTTTTATTTTTATTCTTTTACTATTAGATAATAACAATAAAATGAAGTACATATCTCTATTTTTCCTATATTATTAAAATCGGTGTACAAACTTCTAGAGTGGTTTACTAACCATCAATATTATAAATACTTGATAATTTTCTTATGCACTTCCTAGATATCTATTTGATTTTTAATAATGTGTAGAACCTTACATATTATTCTCTTGGTCAAATGAATAATATAGTTGGCTTGGATAGATGTATCTATAATCCTCCATCTAAATATCTACAGACTTATGAATATGTAAGGTGCTTAATATTTTTTTAATTGGTATATTATATATATATATATATATATGTGTGTGTGTGTGTGTATATTATTGGATAGCTGGCTGAGATATATACATATTTGCGTATTAACTTAGTATAGATGCTTTAGGGTACGAATTATATATTAATAAGTCAGTAAGGTTGTTTAAGGGGTTTGCATATATATGTGATAGATATATTTCATCTCATATCAATAATAATAATAATAATAATAATAATAATAATAATAATAATAATAATAATAATAATAATAATAATAATAATAATAATAATAATAATAATAATAAAAGGGGGGAGATCAGAGAGCCGACCAAATGCCCAATCAAAATCACGGATTTCAGAACATCACACTTCCCCATTCACGGATGCGTCCCTTACACTCCTCAAACTCCTACGTCCCATTAGAAACCCCTGTTATCAGATTAATCATTGCTTTTTGCGTGTACCCTTCACGTTGCAGGACATCTTTCTACAAAATCTACACTCAATCTATCTGACCTAATCATTTTATATACAATTTACACCCAACCTATTCTACTTACCATTTTATACACCGTTCAACAATGACAACTTTTCCACCTCAACTCAACTTTCACTCTGCATCAAAATAAATATTTCAAGAAGTAGTTGTCCGTTGTAGAAGTCTTGGGCGATCATTTGGAGGAGCCTCTGGGAGCAAATTAGAGGCACACATCATCCTAAGCCCAAATATTAAGAAGATAAGAGGTGGGTGATTAAATCTCGAAATAAATAAACGAAAGTGTTATCTCAAAAATACTGATGCATGTATATATTATATATTGTTGGTTGTTGAAAATACTGTTGAGATTATGTTTATATTTTTTTTTTTGTGAATACGCGTACTCAAAAATACTGATGCATGTATATATTATATATTGTTGGTTGTTGAAAATACTGTTGGGATTATGTATATATTTCTTTCTTCTTTCGTGAATATGCGTACATGTGTATATTTATATACTGTTTGTTGCACTGTAATCATGTGTATATATTTATTTCCTCTGTGATGTGTATTAATACTTTTATGGGGTTTTATCTACACAACGTATATTAAAATTTTATCTGTTATTAAAATTTAATCTGTTTTATTGTATTAAACTCCTCATCTGCTTATATATGAATTTTATCTGGTATTCATATTTATCTGTTTCACGGTATTAAACTTTTTATCTGGTATATGAAAATTCTTATCTGATATTATTTTATCGCATTAAGAATTTTCCTGCTTTGTATACGTGTTGGTATTTTATCTGTTATGTATTGTTTATTTTAATCTGTGATAATAATGATCGATCTATTCTTCTAATTCCTCCCTGATGCGTAACATATATCTGTGTAACTTCATATCTTAATAATTTATCCATATGCAGTAATTAATTATAACAAATGATTAAAATAGATCTTGGTATTATTTATATAATTATTGTATAAAAAAAAAGAAAAAAAAAACAAACAAACTTAGAATATAAGTAATAAATTTAAAAAGTTGTGACTTATAATTTTTTTTTTTTTACTAGACCATCCAAACACGTCCTCAGTTTGGAAGTCATTTAAATATCATTAAGGATAATAGTCAGAATTTATTTATTAAATTAAAAATTATGAATGTGATATTTTGAGATTAAAATTAAGATAGAATGTAGATTTTATGATAATAATAATAATAATAATAATGGGTGTTTAGAAAATTTTTTTTTAATGATTGGGAAATTCGAATAACAGGTGTGTCCACCCACGCCTCCCTCTAACACCAACTCTTCAGGCCGCATAAGTAGATTTCTAGAAAATATTATTCCCCCTATACACCGAGTGTTGAGCTTATCTTACTTGTGCTGTTAATTTGATGCGGCCTTGTACACCTAACTCTTGTTGTAAATTGACTTGACTGTTTGGGACGGTTAGACCAAACCCAGTATCGAGCAGCGTGGCTGCGGTTCTCGGCAAGGCTACCGTTGTTGCCTATTCCCATAACTGTGGACGGAGTGTTCCAAAGTGACTGGGTCGTAGAAATGGGGTATAATCGCAATTATTACATTCTCTTGGCAGAAGCCCGTAACTAAGGAGTTTGTCGAGCTCAGATCAGATATAAGGTTGGCTTGGGACTGCATAGTCCATACTGTTGCTTCGGCTCAATACTGGAGCTTCGGCTCAATCCTGGAGCTTCGGCTCAAACTGAGACTAAAGGCTTATGTTGTTGGGAGTCACAAGGAAGAGCCTAGGATCAGGTCAAACTGACTCGCTCCTAAGCTAAACTGTTACTTAACATATTGACCTCTGCTTTATTAATTAAGTTACCTTCAATCCATGGGGATTGAAATCACTATTTTATTTATTTAAAATATTGTACTTGTGAAAGGTCTATTTGTAGTTATAAGCAATCCAAAATTTTGAGTGTTGTCTTACGATATATTACGAATTATTTGCAAACTAATATGGTTTCAAAACATGCATCACAAATTATTTTTTTTATAAAGAAAATTCAGCCACAAAT